AGGGAGAGCTTATTTTTGGAAGGGAAATCTGATTTTTGGAAGGGAGGCCTATTTGTAAGGTTACTGGGGGCTTAATATTGGATTGCATTATTATATAATATGTGCAAAATATTCATTTGTGTACAGGTATTCTGGTAATGCACAAGTTTATGGACTAAAATGTTTCAATTATAGTCTCGGGATCTATTGGGGACGTGTTTATATGATCTAGGCTATCCAGAACACATGCTTGAAGCCTACCATGTTGCCTGTTTGGGATACAGTGCTTATTGTAGCCTGCGAACAGGCTCACTGGGAGAAAGGTGAGCCTGCACGAAACCATGCGTTTTATTCAATCATCCCCTTTTCGCATCTGCTAAACGCTGACCAATCAGCGTCGACTGCGATAAATAAACTGTCAACTGTCAAATTGACGCAAGGCGTGTACATTGTGCAACATGAACAATAATACAAAGCATTAGCGGGCCGCACAATATATATTACTCGGAAAAATATAGAATTCTTCAAATATTAAATAGATATCAATACACATACAAATATAAAGCCGAATAAACTACCATTGGCTTTGAATGTACAGTAATACTTGTACTATGTGCGACTGAAAGAACAATGTTCTGAATATTTTGAAGCTATTACTAAAATACGGTCAGATAGATTGGGATTTGGAATACCGAATACGTCTAAAATTTTACTAACTGTGGTCTAAATAAATGATAAATGAGCATGTATTTATTAATTTCTTCGAAATCACGAGTGTGCCAATAGTGGAAGCCGTATCGACGACGAAATTGTCAGCGGTTAATATACAGTAAATAGTACAACTTTTAATGTACGATATATATTTATCTAAATGACATGCCAGCGAGGATCAACAATATAATTATTCGTACATATTTGGGTATCTTTTGTATGCCTTCGCTTGCTGACTTGCTCACTAATGAGGATAATCCGTGAAGCTACGACGACCTCAAAATGTACTATACTATAGTCGATGTCAATCCGAAGACGAAGTTCAGAATACTGTTATAGTTTCGTATATTGGATTTAAGCGATAGATTCAAGTCATTTATGATAGACTTTTTTGCTGTGATGCTTTGCTATTGCTTTTGGTTTCCATTTCTAGTTTTATTTGTTCGATAGTCCTATAATATATAATATTAAAATGAATAAAGTTCAAATTCTTCAAAATGCTGTTGTTGACATTTGCTATTTTTAGTAATTTTGTCAACGAGTGTAAGCCAATCAGAAGCCTGCGTTTCTATACGAACGCCACTACTAAGAAAACCTATAGTTCCGTGCAGGCCCTCTATTCTTCGCGCCGCCCGCAACCCAGGGCCTGTTCGCAGGCTATGCTTATTGTATATGGTGAATTTCTTGGCTTACATATAGCCAGGATTCTGGCAATGGAAACCTCACGCTTAGCCAGGCCGATAGTAGCAGGATAGGATAGGACATACTGGCAAATGTCGTCCCCAACTTGCCAGGTAATATAAACAGGGCCCAATTGTGACTAGTGAGCCAGATGAAGTAAAAACAATTAAGTTCATATATGTCCATAAATTTTGATACCTGAACAGCAACATTAAACAAAATCATTCTGTCCCAAAGTCATCCATATTCCTTAAGTTTAGGACTCTGAGACCAATGAATATATTTGTCAATCAAGGATTAAAAACAATGAAGACAAGTGTTATGGTCAAACAAACGAAAATATTCATGTCCACAGGCTGCAACACGCAAATATGTTGACACATTATCCTGAAGTCGACAAAATGTCGAAATCGATGAAAAACGAGCCTAGAAACAGTTATTGAGCTAATCAATCAAATAAATACTTGGCATAAGTTTGAAGGTCCATAGTCCAAATATTTGATGAGTTTCTTTAGGCCATTTATACCAACAAAATTTTAAAAATTCCCTGTATTTAGATACGAACCATATTGATCGCCACGCTGTTTAGCAAGAAATCGACATGTCAACTTGTCTCGGCCCGGAAGTGTCCTGTTTACTTGGTACACAGGGTATTAATAAGTTAATGTGAAAACATGAAGATAAAAGTATCTTTTAAAAAATAAAACCTCTCAAACCTCGATTTGAAAGGCTTTTAAAAACGCTAATCCGTTCGGAACGTACAAATTCGAGGGGTGGTATTTAAGCTTGCGCAAGGCAAAGGTTGAAGACTTATATCTTCGCAATCACGCAATGAATCAAAAATCGCCACGAGGAAGTTGAGGAGAATTCTTTTAAGAACAACATATATCAATTTCATGGAAAAGAAAAGCTCTGAAGTAACCCCATACGTTTGTTAACAAATTTCATGTGATGAAGCGTTTTACGCATTCTGATGCCATTAGGGCAAAAATGTAAACAAAAGCGCTGATTGGTCGAGAACGAAATTCCCCCTTGTTACCTGAGACTGCAATCACGGCTTCAATTTTTGAATTGCAGAATAATTAGATCCACTATCTAGTGTATATAAGATATCTATGGATATAACCAAGCAGGGAAATTTTGTCAGCGAACGGTTCGCTATATAAACGTAAGTTAAAACTACATTTGCCTCGAACATTTTTATGTATATTATTAATACGTGATAGTATAGTTTTTTGTGAAGTTTGGATAAAACAAGCACTCGTGAGTGTTACGAAGACCTCAAATAGCACTCGTCTTTCGCACTCGTGTTATTTCCATGCTCTTTGAAAAACTCACTCGTGGATGTTTTATCCAAATTTCCCTCGAAACCACCCTATTATACCTATGCTAATAGTTGCATCTTCAGCTGGACATATCATTTTGAACGATCTGTGCCAGTGTAGGTAGTGCCAGTAATGAGAAAGCTTTCGCGGATTGATAGGGATGGAAACACAAGGAGAACTTCGACGTTTCGAGCGAAGACCCTTCGCCGGGGTTTAAGATATATTTCTCCCTTTTTACGTGACGCTGCAATCGGCCTAACCAACAAAATTATCAGTTTCGAAATGCGAAACATTAGTTTGGAAGGTGTTTTGGACTTCTATAGTGTCGCAGAGTCAGGGCCGTAGCTAAGCATGCATAGTTGGGGTGAAGGCCAAAAATTTCCGAATGACGAAAAAAATTTCCGAATATTTCGTGGCATACGAAGCCACGAAGGTGTTTGCTATCAGGAAAATGAAAACGCAATTTACAAACAAAAATACTGATATTTTACGCACAGACATATTACAGAAGCGTGCAGTTCTGTAAGAAGTTCTTTTTGATAGGGGGTGACGAGGGCCGAAGGCCCGAGGAAATTTTTAAATTTACAGTCTCTGAAATGCCATTTCGTGGACTTTGGGGGAAGTTTTGACAGAATTCTGATGGTCAGAAAACAGAGTTGTAGCACGTCGAAATTTACAATTAATTTGCTTACAATATAGAAGAACTAAATGGGCGAAGGCGTATATGGGTAATATGATTCTTCGCGGTTTGTCATGGGTAATATAGCCGCTTAAAATTAATCAATTGTCAGTATTTTAAAGATATATTGAGGGCTGGAAGTAATAAACCGAAAAACATTTACCGATCTACGATTTGTTAAATGTTATCCATGTAAATGCCGTGATTTTGTAAATCATTTTATGATACTGACAATACAATTTTATAATATTTCTCTGTTTAAACAACTAAAATTTTGTTAACTATTACTGCCGTAATTTTCCGAATGACCAAGCTGATTTTCCGAATATGTTAATTCTAAAAAAGTTGGGGGGGGGGGGTTAACCACCCCCCAATACCCCCTACGCTACGGCCCTGCGCAGAGTAGATGACTCCCAAGATATCAATTGTGAATTCAGCCATGGCCAGAAATTCAGGACATGCGCCCGCAATATATCTCAGCGGGTTTTCCTCTGAAAAGTTATTCATACCTAACAAACGCAAGTTTTAACTAAAAAAATACATTTTGCTTAGTTTTTTGCTTAACTAAAGCAGAAAATAGATATAATAGGTACTGTCGGCCTTTTACATACCTTTCATTTATTGTGATGGGATATAAAGTGATGCGCATGGTAAACGACTCAAATATTTTGTGTATACATCGCTATCCCTCTGTGTAACCCGCACTGGTAGAAAGCCTGGTTCCTAAGCTTCTTGTTGATATCAAACATGGACGACAATTCATTAAACATCGTTCTTCTTGCAATGTTTTACGGTCTATGGACAGGGTATTTATGGGTAAAATATCAACATTTTATCCCGTAAATTGGAACAAGTTAAAAAATTCGTATCACTATGAAATTATGTAGACAAGCAGGGGACAACATATATTATACGACGCGAAGTCTGCAAATTTCACGAAGGGTTCGAGGGATACATGCGGCCAGAGCAAAATGTACGTTTTCAACGATTTTCTCAAGTTTTATTATACTTTATTATACGCCGATGTACTATGAAGTGAACTTGAATAATGGAACAACTTATAGGTAAGATTTCGATGCGAAACTTTTCTGTTTTATGGTCCAAATATAATTTATAATATTGCGAAGTCTGCAAATGACATAGCTATTATCAAACACGTTTAAATTGAAAAAAACCGCGCCACTCCTAATGATTTATATATAACAAATCGGCCATTTTGTTTGTGAAAGTTCGCACATGCTCAGAATCCATGTCCGCAATTTCTGGCCATGTCGAATTGTATTTTCACATCGTAATTTAAAATGCCAAGACAAACACGCGCCTGTTCGAATAAGGCATGGAATTAAAATATGCAGGGGTACCTGCATCACACATAGATCAAGGGCGCCATGCATATGGCCGTTTGCCCGCCAGTGTTTTACCACGCCCTGAGCCTGACGAGCGTGACTCATGCGTAGATTCGCAACTCGCGCTGAGTGTGACTCACGCATTACTCGCGCATTGCAAAACGTAAACAAAGGGACGCCGCCGAAATTTTTATTTCGTTTTTAAACCATACATGCACAAATTTAGTAAGGTTTACTTCTAGCGTTTCTTAGGTAATATTGTGGCATTATTTTTAATATTTACTTGCGCTCGTCGGCATGTGTTATTTCTCTCTCCCCTAAATCGCCCTCTTCATGACTGGCATCGTCTAGTTGCCGCGATTGCCAGTAATTTGTATCACTCACTTCTACGTTGACATCATCTGATATATCCTCGTTTTCCTGGGAATTATCTTCCACATCAGTGTCATTTCTGTACCAATATCGCACGTCTATTCGCACCGATTGTCCATCATCTGAATCACTCTCTTCTACGATAACATCATATGATTTATTATCGCTCTTATCTGAACCATTCTCTTCCACAACAGTCTGTGTAATTTGTGTACCAGAACGGCTTTAGTTCGGGGTTATGCTAATATGGCGTAGGCAATATGGCGTGGGGGCAACCTTCGGATGAACCTTAATTGATAAGCTTGCCGGAAGGGATCGCTTGTAAAACTTTGTACATGCTGTTTTGACAAGTTTGAGGCTCCACAAGGTTTTTCGTAGCTGTAACTAGCAAATCCTGAAGCTTATTTTGCAGCCGATCTTGAGGTCGGAGCTTGTCTATAATATATATTTTTCACAATATATTTCATCAAGGCAAAGGAACCTGAAACATTAGCCTGAATATATACCAACTATATATATAGTACTCTTCAAATCTCCCTGGGACAAGCAACAGATTTCTATGTGGACATGACAAGTCAGTCCAGGCTGTGTTCAAGAATTTATAAAAACATATGAGAGAGCAACACGTCGCCCCCACGGATATCTTATACTCGATTTGAAATCGGCTACCGATTATCAACATTAGACTATAAAGACCAACGTTTTACCTGGAGAAAATGACGTTTTGCAATCGAACCTAAACAAATCACATGTACAAAAGCAATCATACCGAAAACCTCCCATTCTTAACGCTATGTCCAACACCCAACGACAAATGGAGAATATCATCATTCAATTCGCTTCGGTTAACACAAGATAAAAAAACTGCACATTTTTCCAATGAACGAACTGAATCGATTTCAAGCGTTTAAAAATAAACTAAAAAGCCTGACTCGAGCTCAAGATCGGCTGCAAAATAAGCTTCAGGATCTGCTAATTTTCACGATTTTCATGGGGAGGGCATGCCACCAAACCTCTCTAGGAAGGTTGTACACTCACTTGCTCTCAACACCAGCCCTCCCCTCCCACACAGTAAAATCAATGCTCGGTCTCTGTAGGAGGTTATGTTTTCAAACCGCCGTTGAGCGTCTATTTATTCAAGTGCGCCCAGTAAATATATTTCTTTTTTTCGTGAAGGTGTCTTTTGGAATAATAGTACTCGTGTAAGAAAACCTATTATATTTTTATTATGCAATTCATTTATTAATATTTTTTCTTTTTCAGGTTAATTATCAAATTTGCAATAGTTCCCAAGATGGTAAAGAACAAGAAAACTTCCAGCGAAGAATCGTATAAACTGTTGCCCATTTTTGATGTATCTTCTCAAGATGAAGTCTCTAAAATTCCAGATGAAAGACAGCGGCCACATTTACTGTCGTAAGTTTATGTTTTTGTTGTAGAAATGCACGTTTTTGTGAAGGTGGAAATATCGTACAGTATATATTCTAATATAAATTAGCGTTTGGAATTTTACTTTTAACGTTCATAACGTTTATTAACACCACAGGCTCGATTCCTGACGGAGACCATATTTGATTGCGTTTGCTCTCAAAACACGATTGATCATCCTAACACCAACCCCGTATATTTTAATTCTCTTACAGTATATTTACACTACAACATTGTATTGCTATATTCGAACCTATCTATTACCTGTTACTGCGACATGCAAAAGTTCACCAATATTTTATGTACTGTTTAGAGGACCGCAAAGCGCCATGATGATTTTTAAATTTTGTGTTGGCGCTGGTTGGTTTTCCCTTCCGGCTGCTTTTCGATATTCAGGGGTTCTGGTAAGTGAAGTACTGCTAGTCCAAAACAACACACGTACAATCAGGAGCAAAAATTATTGAGACAATCGCATAAATGCCCCCCTCACCCCAAATTCAATGTTGCGTGAATGACTGAAAAGACAAAATTCAACCCAAATTTTCCAACATTGATCATGGGGACAGGGGGGAGGGCGATGTACTTTAAAATGGCCAACTTGTACGAATGACTTTTTGTATCTGCGAAGCAGATATATTGCCATCGTGCGCGTACCGGAAATTTGTAAGCGTGCTCATAGCCAATCAACGACAGCTTATAGATGAAGTGACGTAATGATACTAATTTCAAAATGGCGGCTTACTAAAGTGTGAAACAAAAGGCAATTTGTGAATTTACGAAATCAAATGCAGTTTAAAACAACGTCATTTTACTAGTCTGAATATGGCAAATGTCGCTAGTGCATTTTTGGCAAGCATTTGAAAGGTTTCATCATTTAATACGCAGGGGAAACGAAATCATTTGCAATTTTGGACAAGAAAATTATTGACTATAAATGGCATTGACAATACTATTATGAAATTATGAAAGTAATGATTCTTCCACATGTTGCCGTTGTTGGTGTATATGGAGTTGTAAGTGTTGATGTTGATGTTTATGTACTTCTCAATTTAACATTTTCATTGGTGACTTAGTTAATATAAATTAGTTGAATGAAACGAATAGAAGGCTATATAATTTCGTAAGGTTACATAATTTCTTTATCAATGATTATAACTATAGACAATTGGTGTCTGCTTTCATTACAGACTTTGATAGATCATTTTTATACAAATTTAGCAGAGTCAGAAGCTAAGTCACACATATTGGAAAGATTTCTCTTAAAGCACTTTTTAGCAGTATGTGCATTGAATAATTGCTTTCATTAAAGCAAGGCAAAGTAATAGTGGCTGCATAAAGAGCAGAGATTCAGTTTTAGATTGGAATATCAATACTTATAGTAACAGTTGCAACCAGTCATAATTATTAGCTATATATCCTGGACGGGGTGCTCCCTTCTTCCTCGACCCTGATTTCTGCAACTGAATGTCATTGCCAAGAACACCAGTTAAGCAATTTATATCCCCCTTCACCTATCCCATACTATATATTGTCTTATAATCAACAACAACCATATGTCAAAATGGGATCTTATTTAATATAGCACACAATGTACAAAACCAACATAATATTCTGTTTAGTGGATTTTCTTCCACGACAAAATATTATTGCATGGATCTGTTATGCTGAATTATATCATTCTATTCAAGAACTATATGCATCAATTATACTTCTAATTTTCACACTTGTCATCATTTGTTGCTGATGAATGACTTTCAATATATGACCTATTTTATATATTTAAGTACTAGGCATAAACAGTTGATTTGTGTGCCATCAACCCTGACTATGACATTTTCTAAAAGGAAATAGATTATATTTAAAAACAATTAGAAAAGCAGAAATGATGATGTTATGTATCAATTATGGTATAAGAAGGCTTCCAAAACTCTGCAAAATGTAAAGTTAAAACTAAGACATAAACTTCTCCAGCAATTCCTGGATAGTTATTAAGTACTTGTTTTTCAGTAGTTGATCAATAAGCGTTGTCGATGCTACTGTTGGTGTGTTATCATCGCTGTTGTTGTTGTTGTTGTTGTTGTTGTTGTTGTTGCTGTTGTTGTTGTTGTTGTTGTTGTTGTTGTTGTTGTTGATGTTTCCTTGTTTGCTAGTAATCTGTTTCAATAAAATTAATTAGGACTAATGTAGTAATAATACAGTAACTTTATGTGCTTGTAATTTTTGTCACTGAAAAGCCCCTTCAGGGGAGTGTCAATACTGTCAATGAATCAATGAATCAACAATGAACAACAATGTATATTGGCACCACCTGTTATCCTGACAACTTCTATGCATCTACCATGTTCTCGCATGCCTGCTAAAGTTTAATATGAACTATCAAGAAGATTTGGAACCCGAAATGTTTTAACAAGAACACAGAGATGGATTTACTGGGGGGGGGATGCACCCCCCTAGCCCTGGCCAGAGGGGGTGCAGGAAGGGGTCCTATTTTTCATGATAAACAAAAAATTATTAGAAACAAAATGAGATACAGAAATTTGAGTAATAATATGATGATAGGCAAACTGTGAACAACAATTACAATTCAAATACTGTAGTCAAGCAAGACTTTGCAATAGTGAAGCAAGTTGATGGGTGGGTGGCACACATGACCGACACAACTCGGCACCAGAGTGGGCAGAGTACCCCCCCCTCTCCCCTATCAGATCATGCTGGATCCATCCCTGCAAGAACATTATAAAATTAAGGTGATTCAACAAGAACATCATAAAATTGAATATCATCTTTGTGACGTTATGGCCGGAATTAGTTTCTGCAAGTTGAATATATATCAGCCATTTTATTTTTCTTTCATCTGTCATACTATAAATCTAACTTTATTTAGCTGGTCAACTGTTAAACATCAGTCCCTTAAATTTTTTTACAAGCTACTGAGTGTTGATTGAAGCCTTGGCAAAAGTGCAATCACCATGAGCAGATACATGTACGCTTAGCGTACCTATTTTTCAACTTGTACGAATATATTTTTTAATTTTTTGCTTGTGTCGATAATTTTCCCCCGAGCCAAAGGGAGTGCCGTTCCGGGCGTAAGCCCGGGACGAGAGTACTAATTCCGCCCTGTACTAATTCCGGAGAGAGGAAAGCATTAGCGAAGTCTAAAGTTCATCAATGATCGCGGGCGTGGGTTACCGTGCGTGGTTCGGTCATGGTTCGGTGTTGGATGGGTAGTCATCACTGATCTCATAATATAGCGGACTGTCATGAATAGCGAACACTGATTGTTCCAAATTAAAATTTGCATTATAATGCCTGCATGACGACAGCGAAATAGCAAACATTTCTCGCTTTGATGATTCCATTTTTGCAAGATTTTGTAAATCTCAAATGTTTTTGAGAAAAACAAGGCGAAAGAATTTCTAAAAGAAAGGAGTAAAGGTGCCGACGTTTACAAAGGTAATTTTCGATTCTTTTCAATATTCATGTATTGTTCGCTTTATAATTGCTTTATTGATCGTTGCGTATTTGAAAATCTTTATTTGAAATCGTTTTATTTCAAACTTAAAGTTTTTCGATAAAGGCAGTTTAGTTTTATAATTTATAAAGGACATTTTAAAACGTTTTGCGAAGCCTCAGTGGTTGAATTTTACCTTAAATTGAAGCTTATATTACCTACCGTACTTACCATATATATGTTTGGGAAATTGATAATTTTGTAATTAAAAGTGATATTTTTAGGGGGGTTTTATTTGTAAAAATATTCATAAAAAATTTTCGTGTTACCATGACAACTACTTGAACTACTTCATGCTCGAAAAATACAATGGAGGGTTTCTACATGCATGTGTTTTCTAGTTTTAAATATAATCCCTTGCACGAATTGTTTTTTTATTTCAACTTATCATTTTCCCTGTGGAAAAGCCTCTGCACGAATTTTTATTTTCTCAAACTTTCTTGGTGCACGAATTTTTTTCTATCTGTTTCCCCTACGCGATGTTTATTTTTTCGTCCCCCCCCCCCATTAATTTTCTAATGACCTGCCCTTAATAGTTTTAACTTTCAATTATAACATTTCATGTACAATTTGTACGGTTTTAATATGCCCGTACGATTACAATGCATTCTGAACTCCCAGACGTAACGAATCTTGGGTGTTTACAACAAGAGGATTATTTCTAAAGGTTCACTTTTTCTGAGGCACCAGGTATAACAAAACATTTAATATCTGTTCCCTCGGGAAATAATTCGGGCAAATAGTTAGTTCTGTTTCCTCTCGAATCTCGAACATTGAGACTTTCGGGAACTAACTTATTTCGCTCAGCAGGAGACATTAAGTACTGTTTAATAAACGAGCAGGAGTGTTTTATTAGGTTTATTTTATTAGGTTTTATTAGGTGCAGAACCGGAACTGACACAGCTTATTTTGGAGATATTGGTGCTGCCTGTGGCAGATTATTGAACAAAAGATGGGAATTGATCGGAAGGTGAGAATGTTTGCATTGTCAGGGCAAGTGAATTGCAAGTATCTAGTAATTCGAAGGTCGCGGGTTCGAGACCCAGCCGCGGCAGACTTTATCTTTCTGCTTACGCTGGGTATGGAAATTATATAATACACACTCGAGAACATTTTCACCTTAATATATATATATATATATATATATATATATATATATATATATATATATATATATATATATATATATATATATATATATATATATATATATATATATATATATATATATATATATATATATATATATATATGGAACAATTAAGTACTGGTGTAAGAGTAGTAAGACATTGTGTAGTCTAAATAATTAGCTAGAGGTATTCAAAATGGTTGTTATTTACTCCATCTCCTATGGTGAACTGCATATACGTAATAAACTATGAAAACTATACGATTACAGGAACTAAAAAAGGTGATATATATATATATATATATATATATATAATTTGTTTTGTTGTAGTAGATAATAAAGAGCTCAACACTAATACAAAAGTAGAGCAAGACTATATATATTTAAGATATAAATATATATATATATATATATATATATATATATATGTGTGTAGTGCTGATGAGCAGGATGAAAGTAACTTCTATTTACAGTTACCTTTGATGCCTCACGATTGTGGGACATCAAAACCATGCCAGAGCGTTCAAACTGCAAGCAGTGAGCGTGCGCAATGCCTAAGCGGCATGGCTCATCCTATATATATATATATATATATATATATATATATATATATATATATATATATATATATATATATATATATATATATATATATATATATATATATATATATATATATATATAGATAGATAGATAGATAGATAGATAGATAGATAGATAGATATAGATAATAGACATAGATATATATATATATATATATATATATATATATATATATATATATATATATATATATATATATATATATATATATATATATATATATATATATATATATATATAGCAGTTACTTTCATCCTGCTCATCAGCACTACACTGATGATCGAGGCCCATAAGGCCGAAACGGTACCGTCTGTAGTTAGATTGAGCGCTCTACAGGATGAGCCATGCCGCTTACGCATTGCGCACGCTCACTGCTTGCAGTTTCAGCGCTCTGGCATGGTTTTGATGTCCCACAATCGTGAGGCATCAAAGGTAACTGTAAATAGCAGTTACTTTCATCCTGCTCATCAGCACTACACTGATGAGGCCCATAAGGCCGAAACGGTACCGTCTGTAGTTAGATATCGCTCTATGGCCTTTAGGTCATATTGAGCGCTCTACAGGATGAGCCATGCCGCACTGTAAAAACTGATAGGTTAAAACAACCTATTTCTAAAGGTTGTAACCAATAATTAAAGGTTGTTTTAACCAATTGAATGGGTTAGAACCGATTTAAATTAGTTAAAATAACCTATTATTATCGGTCAAATTTTGCGACCAATAAAAATAGGTTAATTTAACCAATCTTTTTGGTTAAGCAAATTTACCGATTGGTTATTATTCCCAAATAGGTCATTATAACCATTATGATTAGGTCAAAATACTGAAAACTAAACTAACCTATATGAAATATGTTGAAATATTTAGTTCGACTTACGACATATACTTTCAATTTCAAGGAGTTATTCTCACTTCACTCAGTTAAAAGCCATTTATTAAATCGTATAGTAGAAGTGAAATAGTGAGTAATTTTCCACCAAGTTTTTACTCGGGCTGTGTATTATAACTCGACCATCACACATAGGAATCGGCAAAAACTATATTCAACTGAGTTTCTTCAACCTAGAATTAGGGCGATATTTTCTATACAAATTCGTAGTGAAGGACTGCAGTTCGTGTAAAATCAACCCAAGGTTTAATTCAGCTGGTTGACGGCGCCGTTTTTCTCGAATATTGCCAAGTCAGATTCTTGTAGTTGTATTACAAGTATATCGGACCATATCGGCTTCTTATTGTTCGATCGCACGCGACGATCGAATGTAGCCAGAAATTGTCAGCGAGTTTTTCTTGTCAAATTAATTTAACACCAGCATTGTTCTCATCTATATTTTTGCTGCGTAAATCTCTATTATAATTACCCGCGTTTGTCAGAGATTCTGTAATTTGAACTTGTGGAATGTTTTGCTGCTGAATATAATTTTCAACAAGTGGAAATTCCACTTTCAACCAATTAACATGATTAGAATATATCACGTGTTGTAGTAATTCGATCTGTATGACACATTGACAACAAGCGCCAAGTTCGATCTTTTGAGAGCAAGCATTCAAAGGAGAAGATTTTTATTCAAATTTTCTATTATAAAGTTCGAAAGACCTAGTAAAATATATGGAATTTGAAAGGTATGTCTATTGTGTATTTACTCATTTGTATGCGGATAGTTACTTGACATACTGTAGTTATATTTGTATTAAAATCGAAGGGCTGTATTTTATATTAGTCGCTTCGCCGCCGATTCACTGAAGGCATCTGGACGTTCAGTTGTAAATTTTCGATTAATTTCTATTACATGTCCCACAATATAAGCCCCTCCCGAATACAAACGGTTTGTTTACCTTTTGAAATAGATGAGTATGAAATAGAGTTTATGTTCAGAAAAATTCGAAATTTGGGCAATGTTCACATTAGAGGTCCTCACATTGTTATGAGCAGAACCGATGCGCAGAACGGACTTGACTTCCCCTTTAAAAAAAAAACAAGTAGGGCGCGCTGGTTGTTGTGCAGTACAGTTGCAACATGCATGCACATACATAGGCTACCTGGATATATTTGGTAGTGATGTTAAGTTTCCTTGTAAGATCCTTAATGTTGCATGCATATAGAATATATTCTCATTTTTGTTTGCAGAGTGATTTTGAAATCCAGCATACTGAGAGAATAAAGGCGCTATTGGCAACCGGATCTCTACAAGAGATAAGTTCACTTACCCTCATTGCAGAGGGTATATGGTATAGTTGCCATATTAAGAGGAAGTACTATAATCAGCACTATTACATGCTTATTAGCAGCGTACCGTAAACCTCCGAATATAAGCCCCCCCCGAATATAAGCCCCTCCCGAATATAAGCCCCCCCCCCGTGTATAAGCCCACCACATGTAGTAACGCTCACCTCATTCCAAATATAAGCCCCCCCCCCCGAATATAAGCCCACTTGTTTATCAGTTATCACCATTTATTGTTTATCACTATTACCACTTACCACTATTAATTTAAAAATTAAACGAGACTTACCTGTAAGTTGAAGTTTGATGTAGATTCTACCGATTCATAGTCAGGAACATAGGAATTACGTGAGATTGCGCGAGCAAGCTATATCAATGTTTACCAGTGAATGAGCACAGGATCCCGCGTAAATAGGGAGGGATCATCTTAGCATTTTTAATGCCGTGAGTTATTTGTATAACCAATGTTGGGAGGGCACGTAATTCCTATGTTCCTGACTATGAATCGGTAGAATCTACATCAAACTTCAACTTACAGGTAAGTCTCGTTTAATTTTTAAATTCTACCTCATCATAGTCTACGTCACATAGGAATCACGTGAGACTTTAAAGCCCTGTGATCATGAACAAGGACACAACACCAGTAATTGTCACACTCTATATTTGCCTCTAACAAAACTGAACCAAGATTACAAGACACATTAATTTCTTTGTTATAAAACTTAGCAAAAGTTCCACAGTTGGACCATCCAGCAGATTCCAAGATGCTTTCTATGGAGGCACCTGCCTTGGCTGCAGCGCTAGTGGAGGCTGCTCTAGCACTGTGTGCAGTAAATTTTGTTGTATCAATACCTGCATCCTTTAATACAATCTTGATCCAGCGTGAGATGGTGTCCTTACTAACAGGCTTAAATGGTTTTTGATAACTCAACAATAACTGGCTCGTATTAACGTCAGTTCTGTGATTCGCAGTTTTTTCGATATATGCTCTTAAGTGATGGATAATACACAAACTTTGCTCCTGGCCAAACGCTTCCAGTTCAATAGGTTTTAGATGTTTCCCTGGTCTCGACTGTTTCAGTAACCGGGTCAGATAAAAAGTACATTTCTTATCTGATATGTCCATATGGTTAACATCCAAGCAATGAATCGTTTGCGTTCGTTGACCAGTGAGAAGAGCCAACAACATAACAAGTTTTAATGTAAGTTCCTTTAGTGAAATACATTCAATAGAAGGGTAAGAACGCAGTCTATTTAACACTTGATTGACATCCCAAATAAATGCATAACGTGGCAACGAAGGTTTCTGTTCAAAAACACCCTTTAAAAACCTCTTTACCAAAGGGTGCATACCAAACGTAAGAGAATCATTAGCTACAAGTATGGTTGAAAGGGCAGATCTGGCTGTATTAACTGCACTGTAGCCAATACCCCTATCAACTAGTTCTGCTAGAAAATTGATACCTTCAATTACAGTAGCTGAAACTGGACTAATCCCTTTGGAGTTGCAGTAGTTTTCCCACTGTGTAAGGTAGGTTTGGTATTGGTTTTTAGTTCCATCCCGCCAGGCACACATGAAAATGTCTGAAGCTGTTGTTGAAAGTCCGCTTGTTTGCAACTGTCCCCTGACAAGTGACATACTAGCAGATCCAGTTTCTTGTGTAAGGGGTGTGTTTCTTGTGGGTGGCTTGGTAGCAATAACAGTCTGACACTGTGCTGTAGAAGAACTGGACAGCTGATCAGCATCCTCATTGCCATGGAATACCACACCTGGGTGGGCCATTTGGGGATTACTATTACTCCTGTTGCCTTGTCCTGCTCCAGTTTCTGAAGAACTTTTGAAGTGACACTGAAAGGAGGAAAATAGTAACCTTGGAAAGTGTTCCACTGAGCAGAAAATGCATCAATAGATTGTGCTCCTGGGTCTGGTCTATATGCGATATATCTGGGAAATTGAGCGTTTAATCTAGATGCAAACATGTCTATATCTGGGTTAACTTGTAATTTGTCAAGTGCTTGATGTAAGAGTGTGGGGTTCAACATCCACTCATTGCTGGTGCTTATTTCCCTTGACTCTTTATCAGCTACTATGTTATATTTGCCCGGAATATGTTCCG